AGACACCCAGGCCTACAGAGGCGGGGTGGGGGTGGGGGCTCTGAGCTGGACCCGGGACTGGAGTGGGGAGGGGATACACACGGGCAGACAGACAGACACTCAGGTTTACAGAGGCAGTGTGTGTGGGGGTGAGGGTTCTGAGCTGGACCTGGGGCTGGACCTTGAGGGAAGGACACCCAGGCCTGCAGAGGCAGTGTGGGGAAGGGGTCTGAGCTGGACCTGAGGCTGGACCCTGGGCGGGGGACACCCAGGCCTGCAGAGGCAGTGTGTGTGTGTGGGGGGGGGGGGGTTATGAGCTGGACCTGGGACAATACCCTGGGCGGGGGACCCTACAGCTCTGAGATGTTCCTTCTGGTTCCTTTGTCATCTGTCTCCTGCCCACCCCCTTTCTAGAAGCTTCTCCCCGTGCCTGTTGCTTTTTTCTCTTCCTATCTGTCCTTCACTTCCTAGAACCTCCACCTCTACCTGTCCTAAAGCTGGGTGGACTCTGAGATCCCCCACGCAGGAGATTTCAGCTCTTCTCCTGCCCCCTCCCTCCTCCCCTCTCCCTCCTCTCTCTGCTCTCTTCCCTTTCCCCTCTTTGTTTCCTCTCTCTCTCTTCTCTCTCCTCCCTCTCCTTCCCTCCTTCTCTTCCCTTCTCTCCATTCCACCTTCTCACATTTCTTGAGACAAGTTTTCATTGAACAGCCCAGGCTGGACTATAATACCAATCCATATAGCCCAGGCTAGCCTTGAGCTTTCCATCTCTCCACTTCAGCTTCCAAGGCTAGGAAGACAGGCACATGCCACCCACCAGGTCCCACTTCTAACTCTTGCTTTTAACCTTCCTCCTCTGCCAGTCAATCCCAGCCCTTCAAGAGAAAGGATACAGGTTCCCGTTTGGAGAGCCAGGATTAGTGACCCAGTGATAGCATCTTGTTTATCTCCCTTCATAAGATTTCCATTTTTCCTCTTGGAAACTACGGTTGTAGGAACCAGGAATGCACGTGCAAACCTGAGGGCCTGAGTTCAAATCTCCAGCACCCACGTGTTTGCTTTGTGGGGGTGCTGGCCCATCTACGCCAGCACTTAGGAAGTGAAGACAGGGGATCCCTGAGGCAAGATGTTGAGTCAGAGAGGTCTGGGCACAGTGAGGAGTCCTAGATAAAAGGTGGGGCGTGGTTGAGAAAGGCACTTACGGTCAACCTCTGGCCTCCATAGGCACACATGCTACATGTACATGTACACACACGTACACACACTGGGACAAACACATGCATGTATGCATACACCACAGATACATACATATACAAAACCAACTAGGCTTGGGAACCCCACTCACTCCCCTAGACAGACTATGAAGACAGAGTGGGTGGTATTTTAAGGCCTTGGAAAACCCCCTAGAGGGTGTTAGTAATCCCGGGGCACCAACCACTTCAAGGCCTCCCACTGATGACCTTTGCCACCCACTCGAGTTACAACACTGGGCCCTGAGCATCCTCTGCCCAGGCACTTCTCTCCCCAGAGAGCCGTGACTTTTCACTTCCTCTTCCTGCCACGTGCTTGGGCTTGTCCCGAAGAATTGCTAAGCAGCAAAGGCTGGGCGGGGCGGGGGGGGGCGGGGCGGGGGGGGGGGCGGGGCGGGGCGGGGCGGGGCGGACTGGGAGATGGCTCGGTGGCTGAAGCATTTGCTGTACAAACTTAAGGTCCTGAGTTCAGATCCCCAGAACCTAGGCAAGGCAGAAAAAGGGAACCGGTCCCATGAAATTACTCTCTGACCTCCACATGTGTGTCACAGCACACAGGTTCCCTACCGCCAACAAATGCATCAATCGATCCATCTATTTTTTTTTTTTAAATTGGATTTTAGCAGTGGGAGCTTGTAACCCCAGTGCTGGAGCAGAGAGAGAGGGGGATCCCTGAAGTTCGCTGACCAATCAGTCTGGACAAATCAGAGACCTCCAGGGCCTGTGAGAAATCCTGTCTCGGAAGCTGAGGCCGACTGAGGCCACAGAGATGGCTCAGTGGGGAAGCGCGCCTTCTTTCCAGCCTCCAAGCTGGCCTGCTTACAGCTGCCTATAAACCCGCTTCCAGGTGATCTGACGACCTCTTCTGGTCTCTAGTGGCATCTGCACTTGCATGCACCCACACAATTTAAAATAAAAATAAAATCTACATAGATAAGTGTGAAGAGAAGGGAAAGATGCCCGACATAAACCTCTATGGCTTCCACTCTTGTGCGCGCGCACCCGATTGCACTCACGTGTTCGTGTACTGTTATTGCGCGAGGCTCCAGATCAACCCAAGCAGACACACGAGGTTACCACAAGGCAAGATTTAACCCAGGGCAGCACAAAAGAAGAGGGAAAGTGGAGGGGGCCGATCAATCAGGGCCGCAGAACAGACTCGAGAGCTCAACCGCAACCCTGAGTGCCAGCTGAAGCAAGGTATGTAAGCACGAAAATCACAAACAGTTGTTGCCAAGTTACAGTTGCAACTGCTCCCAATCAGAAATCAAAGATTAGGGGCTTTCTTTAAGTGTTCCGTGATTGTCAATCGACACACGGTGCAGGCGTTTCAGCCCAACCAACCCGATTTATTTGTTCTTTCTGTTGTTAGGAATAGCCATAATGTTTCTAGAGACCTAAAGAAGCACAATGACTATTTCTACGGTTTAGGGAGGAGGTGGGCCAGCTATTGGGAAGTTCCCAGTTTCCCTAGGGCTTGGGAACCGGAACTATTTCACACTACAGGTAAATAGAGCCTGAAGTCAGAACGGCAGCACTTAGGGCAGCAGCGTGCTATTGCCTGTTCCCAATAGTACATACACCGTAAACACACACCTCGTATGGAATACATAGACAGAAGATAACGCAATAGATTGTAGGCACTCTAGTTGCTGCCCTGCCCACTTATCTCTTGTAGGGAACTCAAGAAATCTTTTTTTCCTATCCAAAATAAGAAGGAAAATGAACATTTAACAACCACGCGCACAGACACACACACACACACACACACACACGCACGCACGCACGCTAAATTACTAACTAAATGTAATAATAACTTTTTAAAGTGTATGCTGGAGAAATGGCTCAGCAGGTAACAGGGCTTGGGTTCTTCCAGAAAACCCGAGTTCAGTTTTCACTGCCTTTGATGACTCCAGGGTCAGTTAGAACTCTAGTTCCAGGGGTTCTGATGCCACCTTGTGGCATCCCTGTGTACCGACATACAATACACTCACAACCCCTGAATGCATGTCCGGTGTTTCTGTGACTTCTTTCATGGGGGTGCCAGGTTACAATTCTCACTGCTCCCACACACACACCACATATCACACACACATGCACCCCAAATACGTGATGGGTGTTTCTAAAAATGCTGGGCACAGGACTGGGAACTTGATGGGCATAGATTTGGGGCACAGAGGTCTTTATACTCACAGAGAAGCACAAAGAGAACCAGAAATGTTCATCACGCAGGGGTGTCTCCTCAGTGGAGTTGGTTTTTATAAATCAAATACCTGCATTCTATCCAGAAAGCCGGGAGTGGGTTTTGTTAACGACCTGCTGACCTTTCTGCTGTCTGTGAAGGCATACCTCACCCAACACCCCAGAATGATCATCCCAGACTTCCCTTTCTAGACCGTTACCCATCCTTAGGGGAGATGTTACATGTACTTTGTGGCCCGCTGACCTCTGTGCTATCGGTCAGAGACCCCACTAGGTTCTAAGACTTTTAGCTACAGAACCTGCCCTCCCGGTCACATGTACTGTGTAACAGAGTCTCCATGCAGTCGCACCTGGATGTCTTGTGCACCTGGAATTGTAATGATGGTTGCTTGGAAACCTTTCCCCCCGAACTGTACTGGGTTTTAAATTTTCTGACAATGAATCGCCTGGCATTAGAGCCCCCAAAGTCTGATCCAGGTTGATGAGGTCATTCTCATCTCCTTGTTCAGTGTGCTTCCCTGTTTGCTGCCTGCATGGACCGCCCCCATAGAAAGGAAGCATTTATCTCTATAGACTCATTCACCACATTGCATATTTAATAAAAGTTCGATGGATAGAGAAACCCTGTCTTGAAAAAAATAGTTTGATGGATGAATAAATGAATAGGTGAATGAATGCATGGGTGGATAGGTGGATGGATTGGTGGAACAGCGAATGGATGGATGGATGGGTGGATGGATGGAACAGTGGATGGATGGATGGGTGGTGGATGGATAAATGGATGTATGGATGACAATGGATATGTAATGAGGGTACTGGTAGTTATCTAGCGGATTGCCAAGTTTGTTTACCCACATGGACAAAGACTGAACTTCTGGGGAAAGACAGAAACACCAAACCACAGAGGGAAAAAAAGTTACCACTTTATCCCTTCATATATGAGGGGCCCTCAGGTTCAAAATCCTTAAGTGGATGCTGGCTTGGGAATTTTATAGGGTCTCAGGGTCCTCCTCCTGCCCTATGGGTCCTGTTTAGATACCCACCCCTGTGTTTTTCCACCACTTCTACTCCCAGTGCCTTCTGGAAACAAACCACCATCTCAGGAAGCCTGCTTTTGCCCCTCTAAGCCTCCTTTAGATGGACAGATGGATGGACAGGTAGATCGATGGATGGCTGGACAGAAGGCAGGCAGACAGGGGTAACTCTCCCCACTCTGCATCTACAAAAAACGGAGGCTCAGAGAACCAAGTAACTTCCCCAGGATCCCACATGCTAAGCAGCAGAACCGAGCCATCTGAAACATCTGCCCTCGGCCTTGTCCCAAGCAGGATGACAGCCCTCCCCCAACACTTTCTTACTAGAATCCCCAAACATCCCTGACTCAGCTAAAGAAGAAATTGATAAAACTTCCCCTTTTTTTAGACCATAGAATGCTCATGATTTTCGAGGAAGCCCGTGGGGGAGAGGGAGGGAGGGACTCCAGTGTGTATCTCCTGAGCTGTCCATATAAAGGCCAGGGGAGGGAAGTTGGGGTGTCCTCAGATTTTGAAGGTCCTTTTTCCTGCACCCCAGCTTTGACCTCTGAGGTGAGGCCTCTGATCTCCAGGACATGGCAGGCTCCGCCACCGTCATCGCCAGCCTTCTTCTCCTGGTAGCTTGCATGGGCTACATCTTCCCTACAGGTGAGACTTTTGGGCCCAGCCTGGGGCTGCTGGTAGCAAAAGCTCCTAAGGGTGTTAGCACAAAGGAGGGTGAGGGACCCGAGCAGCCTGGGACTGGGGAAGGCACTAAGTGGCCTGGAGTATAACCTGTTCTGTGTCTGCAGCTAAGAAAGAGCGTGTGGCAGACTGCATGCTGACACAAATCTCTCTCCCTCCTTTTAGACTCTGTGACCATCCCCTCTTCTTGCTGCATGTCCTTTGTTTCCAAGAAAATTCCACGACACCGAGTGGTTAGCTACCAGTTGGCCAATGGCAGTGTCTGCCCCAAGGCAGGGGTGATGTGAGTATCTAACCTAGACACCTCCAGGGTCTCTGAGGGAGTTCAGAACTGGGCATCTTTGAAGAAGGCTCTAGACCTCTCTGGATTTCAGCTTCCTCACCCATAAAACTGGGAGGAAAATAGAATCCTAGAATCTCCCAGTGAGGGGCTGGAGTATGGCTCAGTGGTAGAGCCCCTGCCTAGACTCCCCCAGTGAGGAGCTGGGGTGTGGCTCAGTGGTAGAGCCCCTTCCTAGAATCCCCCAGTGAGGGGCTGGAGTGCGGCTCAGTGGTAGAGCCCCTACCTAGAATCCCCCAGTGAGGGGCTGGGATGTGACTCAGTGGTAGAGCCCCTGCCTAGAATCCCTCAGTGAGGGGCTGGGGTATGACTCAGTGGTAGAGCACCTGCTTAGAATCCCCCAGTGAGGGGCTGAGGTGTGGCTCAGTGGTAGAGCCCCTGCCTAGAATCCCCCAGTGAGGGGCTGAGGTGTGGCTCAGTGGTAGAGCCCCTGCCTAGAATCCCCCAGTGAGGGGCTGGGGGCGTGGCTCACTGGTAGAGTACTTTCTTAGCATGCATAAAGCCCTGAGTTTCACTCCCAGAATGATAAAAACAAAAACAGTCTTATAGAAAACATAAGACTTTTCTCTTTTACTGAAAGCAGTTGAGGCTCAAGGTCACATGACCAATGAGACCTCTAGATTCCAAATAGCTTCAGAGCCACCTCTTTTTTGGGGGGGCGGGGGCGTTCGAGACAGGGTTTCTCTGTAGTTTGGATCCTGTCCTGGAACTCTCGCTGTAGACCAGGATGGTCTCGACTCATAGAGATCCACCTGCCTCTGGGATTAAAGGCGTGTGTCACCACTGCCAGGCCAGAGCCACCTCTTAACCTGGGTTAATAAGCATGAACTCATGTCTCAAGCAATGGTGCACAGTGGGAAATAACATGTTAGTATATTCTCCAGTTGACATCAGTTTGGTTCTGAGAGCAGGCATGGAAGGCAACATCCCAGGCTCCCCTCTCAGTTATAGCGTGCCCAGTAGCCATGTTTCCATGCATAGTGTGAACTGGTAACATTTGCCTTTAGAAATATGTATATGTGGGGGCTGGAGAGTTGGCTCAGTGGTTAAGAGCATAGCCTGCTCTTCCAAAGGTCCTGAGTTCAATTCCCGGCAACCACATGGTGGCTCACAACCATCTGTAATGAGGTCTGGTGTCCTCTTCTGGCCTGCAGACATACACACAGACAGAATATTGTATACATAATAAATACAGAATATTGTATACATAATAAATAAATATTTTTTAAAAAGAAATATGTATATGTGTAGACACACATGTGTGTGTGCATGTACATGTGCCGGGATTACAAGCACATACCACCATGCCTAGATTTTTTTTTTTTAAAGTGGGTTCTGAGGCTTGAACTTGAATCCTCACAGTTGCAAGGCAGACTTTTGACCAACTGAGCTGTCTTCTCAGCTCCGTTTCTCTGCTCTAGATACTGTATCTCCTATCACATCCATCATTATAATTCAAAAGCAATACCTCCTCTGTCTCACAAGGAGGTCATAGAATGAGCACAGCATCCCATAGTCCATGGTCCTCCTGTCCCCCAGTGGTAAAACCCCAGAACGTACAGAGAGAGAACTCACCAGCGACATCCTAGCACCAAGGGTAAGCAGCTGAGACCCCTGGTCCCCCACACTCTTCCTCACAAAGGACCTTGCCAGACCTCAAACTAATCCCTCACTCTTCTTTCCCACAGCTTCATCACCAAGAAAGGGCAAAAGTTCTGTGGAGACCCCAAGTTGCCGTGGGTCCAGAAGTACATAAAGAACCTGGATGCCAAGAAAAGTCAGCCCTCTGTACGGGCCAAAGCACTGGGCACCAAGTTTTCCATCCAGAGTCTCCGTAGCAACAGCACGGAGGTTTAGCTGCTTCTCCTCTGCCTCTGAACTTGGACATCGGTCCTGACTCCTTGACAAGCCGCTTTGGGCTTGGCACACCAGCTGGGACGCGGCCTGAGTTCATTCTCCCACCCTCAGCGTTTCTTTTGGGGAATGTGTTTATTTTTATTTTTTATTTTTTTCTGTGAGAAACTGAGGGAGTTCCAAGCATGCCAGAATTCTGGTGTTTCCTGTGCTGAGTGAGGAGGCTTCAGAAGAATGGCGGAAGTCGTCATTCGACATTTTCCTCTTGCATGGCTGAAAGGTGTCATCAGAGCCCAGGTACATAAACCAGAGTACCTGCAGGTGTACCTTGTTTGCGGCTGGCTTCCATGGGCTCCTGGTCTTGGGGTGGGGCTTGGGGGCTGGCTGTCTGTCCGCCTGTGGGTGAAGCTCTGTCAACAATAGTAACTCCCAAGCAGCTTGGGACTACTCCAAACTGGTCCCACCTTCAGAACTTTGAACAAATAAAAACTCCACTGAAATGGACGAACTGATGACAGCTCTTTTAAATCCGTCAGCTTTTATAAAGGGGATGAAAGGGGGCTGGGAATGTCGCTCAGTGAGTGGGGTGCTCACCTAGCACACAAAGCACATTGGGTTTTAGCACTGCAAAAGCTAGGCACGATGATGACGCACGCCCGTAATCCTAGCTCCCAGGCAAGAAGATCAGAAGTTCAAGGTTAGCCAGGCATGGTGGCTTAAGTCTTTAATCCTTAAATTTGGGAGGCAGAGGCAGGAGGATCTCTGAATTTGAGGCCAACCTGATCTACATAGTGAGTTCCAGGACAGCTAGGGCTATATAGAGAGACCTTCAATCAAACCTCCTCCCTCCAAAAAGAAGTTCAAGAATATCCTTAGGGGCCAGCCTGGGCTACATGGGACTTTGTCAGTGAGCGAGGAAGGAAGGAGGAAGGGAGAGGGAGGGAAGGAAGAAAGGAGAAATGGGGGAAGGAGGGAGGGAGGGAGGGAGGGAGGGAGGGAGGGAGGAAAGAAGAAAGGAGAAATGGGGGAAGGAGAGAGGGAGGGAGGGAGGGAGGGAGGAAGGGAGGAAGGAAGGCAGGAAGGAAATGTAAGGGAAGAGAGGGGAGGGGAGGGGAGGGGAGGGAAAGGGGAAAGGCACACAGCTGGGCATAATGGCACACATCTATAAGGCAAGCACTCAGGAGACTGAGGCAGGAAGATCATGAGTTCCAGACCAGCTTGGGCTGATGTGTGTGTGTGTGTGTGTGTGTGTGTGTGTGTGTGTGTGTGTGTATATATACATACATACACACACACACTCACACAAAACCTTGGGATTGCTCTCCTCCATCGGTGCCCAAGGAAAGTCTCTTCCCTTCCCCAGAATGTTCAGTGTTAATGGCAGAGCAACTCTCGTCCCTCGGAGCAGCAAGGAGCAAGCCAGGCCACCAGGTTTGCTTGTTTGTTTGTTTGTTTGTTTGTTTTGAGACAGGGCTTCCCTGTGTAGCCCTGGCCGTCCTGGAACTCATTCTGTAGACCAGGCTGGCCTCCAACTCAGAGATCCGCCTGCCTCTGTATATGTGCATGTATATAAAGAGAGTTTTAATTTTAAAAAGTATACAATCTACAAAAAAAGGTATCTAAAGTCCAGGATGAGGGTTCAGCCTAGCTAGTTTAATTGCTTTGTGAACATATAATTTCAGTACTTTCCACTTGTTGGCACGGCTTGCTCCTTGCTGCTCCGAGGGATGAGACGTTGCTCTGCTGTTAACACTGGCTCTCCCAGTGGTCAGAGTGTTTGCTGTATAAGCGTGAGGACCTGTGGGGGTTTGAATGAAAGTGGCCCCCACAGGTTCACAGGGAGTGGAACTTCTAGGAGGTGTGGCCTTGCTGGAGAAATGTGTCCCTAGCGGTGGGCTTTGAGGTTTCAGAAGCTCAAGCCAGACCGTGCTGCCTGCAGATCCCGAGCTAAAACTCTGAGCTACCTCCCCAGCACCGTGTCTGCCTGTGTGCTGCCTTGCTTTCTGCCATGCGGAAATGGACTGAACCTCTGAACTGTACGCCAGCCCCGATTAAATGCTTTCCTTCATAAGAGTTGCCCTGGTCATGGTGTCTCTTGACGGCAATAGAAACCCTGACTAAGGTGGGGCCTGAGACTAAATTCCGCATACAAATTCCAGCATCCACGTAAAAACCAAGTGTGGTGGGGAGCACCTGGAGCCTCCGGTGGAGCCGAGGCAGGCTGACCGTGGAGCGGACGGACCAGCTAGCTATGACCGATGAAAGGGTGAGCCTTGGTTCAGTGAGAGACCCTTTCTCAAGGGAATTAGATAGAGAAAAGAGAGGAACTCATTGATGTCTTCCTCCGGCCTCTGTGTTTTCATGTCCATGTGTATGCACTCACATGCTCACGGCATGCAACACACTCACACACATTCACACACACTCACATACACACATGGGTGGAGTGCAACACACACTCACACATACACACATACATGCATGGGTGGAGTGCACACACTCACATACACACGGATGGAGTGCAACACACACTCACACACACATACACACATGGGAGTGCACACACATATATACATGGATGGCGTGCACACACACATACATGCATGGGTAGAGTGCACACACACATATATACATGGGTGGAGTGCACATGCACTCACATACACACGGGCAGAGTGCAACACACTCTCACACAATACTCACATACACACATGGGTGGAGAGTGACGGAGGAAGACACCAAATGCTGTCTAGCCTCCACACAAATGTGCTCCTGTGCATACACATGCTCACACACGTGCATGCACATATATACAATAAATAAATATAAAAACAAAAGCAAAGAAGGCAATGCAGCTGAAGGCAGAGCTCAATTTCCTAGGAATAGACTGAGCCCCCACCCCTTCCCAAAGTTAGCTACAATTCCTAAGTTGCATAATCGGGAAAAGTAATTTCTCCAATCATCAATAAGAAAAACAGAAGTTCCAAGCAAATAAATTGAAAAGGCAACTCTAAAAAGGAGAAGTGTAAGTGGCCAGAAAACACACGAAATGTTCTCAATATTCCTTATTTAGTAGCCACCAGGGAACTGAAAGTCAGAGCCGTGGGTTTCCATCTCACTCTCCTCAGAACAGCTCGCACTAGGCAAACAACACAGGGCTGGAGGGCTGGAGGGCTGGAGG